AGCCACCCTTGAAGAGTTGGCAGTGCCTTAAATTTACCTTATGACCAGAAATTTCACTCCTAGGTATCTAGGCAAAAGAAATCAAGACATATGAGTATGTGAAAACCCGTATGTCAATGCCTATTGTAACATTATTCATAATAACCAAAAATAGAAACAACCCAAATGTCCACCAATAGGTGAACAGATAAAATGTCATATATCCATACAATGGTATACTATTCTGTAAGGAAAAAGAACAAAGTACTTATATGTACCATGACATGGATGAATCTCAGAAACACTATGCTAAGGAAGCCAGACACAAAAATACTACTTCTTATATGAGTTCCTGGATATGAAGCACCCAGAAAGGCAAATCTATAGAAACTGAGAGTCTATTAGTGTTTGCCAGGGGATGGAGGTTGGAGGAGGGAATGGGAAGTTACTGCTAATGGACACAAAAAGTATTTTTGGACTGGTGGAAATGTTCTAGAACTGCATTGTAACGATGGCTCCATACACTTTAATTTACTAAAAAAATCAGTGAACAGTATACTCAAAATAAAAAATCTTTATATGTAAAATATTCTTCAGTGAAATCATTGAATGAATAAACAAATAAGTAAACAAATTGAGACGTGGATGTGCAAAAACTAGTTAGGAGGCCACTGTGATAGCCTAGGTAAAAGGTGAAGGCTGAGTCCAGGGCCTGAATGTAGAGAAGGAAATAAGTTTGAGAAATATTTAGAAATTAAAACCAACAGGAAGTAGGAACAGACTGGACATTAGATCCTTGGTTTATCCGCTCTCCTCTAGAAATGCTGAACTGCTGTGAGTATTTGAACACCCCATGCTCCTTTCCACCTTTCTTTCTGTGTATATTACTGTGTTCCTCAGGAGCAGCCATCATCAACCTGATACACCTGACTCCATTAGAGACTCAAATCTAGTATCATCTCCCCTTTAGAGCCTTCCCGGACCCACCCTACCACTACTGTGTTCCCACAGCACCTCCTGTGTGTCTCTGTATTAGCATTTTATAGTTTACCATTGTTAACATGACTAGCACTTCATCTTGATCACTGTTGTCAAATACCTGATACTTGGGTCTTCACTTCCATCATAGCATCCCAGCACCGATCACAGCACTCTACTGCTGAGGATTCTGTGGATACCACGGTACTCAGGATGCCTCTCAAAACAGTGCCACAGACAGCCTCTTGTAACCAACTGGCTTTGATACATCCATAAAGTCTGCTTCTGACTGTGATATTCTTGATGCCATGTGTATCTTATTTGTCTATGTGTCCTCTGCAGCAGGTATAGAAAATGGATTTAAAAAATGGATAAAAACCTTTTCAAAAAGATGCCTATACTTGATATGCTATGCAATTTATTACTACCTATTATATATTTTGTATGGCAATGGTTTCTGATTTTTACCCTCAGGTAGCAAAAAATTGCTGAATATCATAATAATTTTTTCCATCTTTTCTTCTAAATCCTGTGTTTTGTTAAGTATAGGCACAGTCTATAGTCTTCCATCATAAACTACCAGACTATAGTCCATAATGGGGCTTGGTCTTTACACAGTAGTTTTTATATTTTAGACATTATGTCTTCAAGAGCTAAAGCTTCCTAAGTCGGGCATCAAGATAATGATTTAGTAATTTATTCCTTTGAACCAGCTACTTTGGTGACTCATTTTTCTCCCTAACCCATGCTATTATACACTAATCCATGCATAACTTCCCTTTAATACAGATGACACAGACTGTTTACTTAGGATGGTTTTGCAATATGCACACTAACAAAGACTTTGTGAGCAGGAAGAATACCAGTTATTCAACCAACTTTAAGAAAACAGCTGAGTGGTAGACCAGCTTAGCAGGGTGTTAAACATCCATTAATAATGGCAGGGTGACAAACTTGAAGGTTTTGATTTTAGTTCACACAAGCACTCCAAATTCAAGGCTCAGCCAACTGTGTTTCTGAGTTTCTGTTAGAGAAAATTTGGCCTGAACACACAGGATGTCCAACTACAAGAACGTTATAAGGCGGATATTTTCACAGTAGCTTCTATGATATTGCTATGGTGTAACACATATTATACATTAGGTAGAAAGTAAGACACTTTCATTCTTCTCATTTCTTGCCCTATACATCAAGTACAGAAAAATTATCAGGGCGAACTGTTGGACAAGGCGAAGAATGAGATGATGCCTTAAGAGAAATGTCTCTGTGACTGACACAAAAGTCGAGATTGGACAGTTGAATGTTTTAAGCTTCACTCGGAAAACTGACTCATTTGCAACAACACTGGACAAATGAGGTTGCACGTGGATGCACTGGACCCTTAAATATATTTTTTTTGAGATGGAGCTTTGGTACTGTTGCCCTGGCTGGAGTGCAATGGCAGGATCTCGGCTCACTGCAACCTCCGCCTCCCAGGATCTAGCAATTCCTTTACCTCGGCCTCCCGGGTAGCTGGGATTACAGGCATGCATCACCATGCCTAGCTAACTTAGTATTTTTAGTAGAGATGGGGTTTCTCCATGTTAGTCAGGCTGGTCTCGAATTCCTGCCCTCAGGTGATCTGCTCATCTCACCCTCCCAAAGTGCTGGGATTACAGGTGTGAATCACTATGCCCGGCCGAGTAACCCTTATTTTATCTTCCTTTTTCTGATAAGCTTCCAATCCTTCCCAGCCTTTCTCCACTATGCATGCTGCTTGAAAGCTGTCTGTTCTTCCTTTAAAACACATTTTTACCCCTTAGCTTAAGCGAAGGTATCATCTCCTTCAGGAAGCCTTCATAACTGGCCTAGGAAGTCCTGAGACTTCCTTTCCACACTTCTTCCTTCTCCTGTTATAGCATGTATGTATCTTAAATTATTAAAATTACTTGCTTACTTGTCCAATTTCCCCAATAAGACTGTAAACTCAAAAGGCTGGTATACCTACCTTTCCTCCTTTGAGACAGCTCACTAACACAGTACCTGCATTTAAGTAGCTGTTTCATAAATGTTAATTGAATAAGTTGCATTGTATAAAATTGTATGTTAAATATTTGATTTAGCAGGTTCATCTGCAGTGATTAAGTAGTTAAGGCAGCAGTTAATTTTTAATAATTCACCAATACTTAGGTGAACAGGTTTAGACAGTTTTAAAATATCTTAGTTGAGTAGGGGGTAAGAGTAGGTTAATGCACGCCCAAGACACATAAGGTTTTCAAAGGACTTTGCATAAATAAGTAATTTATTTTATAATTATTGCTTGTATTGTTGCTCTTCAAATCTCCACAAAGGTAGGCTAAAAGACCTTGAAGAGAGTTCAAACTAAGAAGAATTAAAATTATGAACCAAGAAAGGCAGAAAAAGGGAAGTATGTAAAAATGTACTTGTTCAGTCTTGCTACTATTTCCTGGAGTCACTCTTGGTTTAAAACATAATAAGCAGACCCTGGCTTGTCATACCTACTTTCTCCCAGGGGTTTGAGACTGTAATGAAAGCATTTTAACTCAGTGGTAACTGGATTAGAGTAATACAAGAACCTGCCACCCTGGGACCTCCTGCTTGTGTCTCGGCCTGAATAAATGTGCATGGAAATTGTTTTAAACTGATGGCTGTGCAAGATCACAAGTTATAGTAATGTTGACAGTCTCAGCTTGGAACCTGGCAAAATAGCAAAAAAAAAAAAAAAAAAGAAAGAAAGAGAAAAAAAAGTAGAACACGGATTGAAAGCAGCTCATTTGCTGGCATGAAAGCAATGCTCAAAGGTTTAGATGTACAACCCTTGCAGGTCAATGGTGACAATATTTGCAAAGTGCCACCAGCATCTCCACTGCAAATTGAAGCAACTTAATACAAATCGTTGCTGCAAATCTAAAGCAACTTGATTTCTTTTCCAGCCTCCAGTACTCATAAGACGCCATAAGGAGAAGTTTCCCAGACTTAAAGTGTGCAAAGTGATACTAAATCTTCCATCTCCTGGAGGCTGGATAGGAAATGAAAAGGTATAGTTGTCACATTCTGTCACAGCTGAATATCGTGGAAATAATCCAATCGGTTTGTTCCCTTCAAAAGTAGCCGGTGTTTCATTGTGAGTTTTGTCTTCATTATTTCACAGGTTTATTGTACTCTTGTCACACAGGCAAAACATCTGTTGGCAAAGACAAGGGAGGAGAAGGAGATTCTCTATCTTCCTTATGAACATTCAAAGAAATTCTGGTGAATTTACTGCTGGTGAAAAGTGGCAGCTTGTCAGTTTCCTAGATCCCAGCTTTGGGGAGGCACCAAATGGTTCCTGACTAACAGCAAACAAACTGCATTTTCTACACGGTGTAACTGCATCTTAGTGTCAAATTCGGCAAAGTGGGTACAGAAGGGGGATGATTCAGAAATGACCTAAAATACTATTTTATTTAGGTGCTCCCCATAAGATCATAGATGTCCAGATCTGCTTACTATAAAGCCAAGTTGTTTCCTCAAAGAGACTCACTTAGAGTCCATCTTTTCATAGAATGTTATTTGGGTCCATAGAAACAGACAAAATAGCTCAAATTGTAAAACTATCTACTTCATCAAGAACTTGAAAATATCATGTGATTCTGTTTCCATCTTTCAAGCAAAATAGATACTAGGGTCTCCATTTTACAGATCAGGTAAGTGGGGTTCAGAGATCAGATAAGTTTTACATATGGCACATGGTGCAATGGTTCAATTCTTTTCTGTTTTATTTATTACAGAGACAGGGTTTTGCTCTGTGCCCAGGCTGGAGTTCAGTGGCACAATCACGGCTTATTGCAGACTCCAGGTCCTAGACTCAAGCTATTCTCCTGCCTCAGTCTCTGTAGTAACTGGGATTACAGGCACATGCCACCATGCCCAACTAATTTTTTATTTTCTTTTTCTCTTTCTGTCTTTTTGTTTTCTTTTCTTTTCTTTCAGTTTTAGAAACAAGGTCTTGCTATATTGCCAGGGCTGGTCTTGAACTCCTGGGCTCAAACAATCCTCCTGCCTCAGCCTCCCAAAGTGCTGGGATTACAGGCATGAACTACATTGCCTGGTGCTGTGATTTTAAGTTGTACTTTAGGATATCTTACTCACAGTTCCAAGAACCAGTACCCAGGAGAACGTCTGGCACATAGATGCTTCACTTTGCTTGTACTTGTTGGCTGTTACAAGATCAATAACCAGCATGAAAATCCCCGTCTCACAACCCTTTGAAAAGTGAGTGTTGTTGTCTACAACTACTTAAGAGTATTCATTTATGTGTTCATGAGTTTGTACCTTTCTCCTTGTAGGAAGACTATGAGACTATCAGAATCTACACTTTATCCTCATTTTAGAGAGTCTGGATTTTCAAATAATTTTGTCACATACTGGTGTAACTTGATTTTAAATTTTCCTTAATTTTCAAATTGTGATAAAAATAAGTAAAAGTAATTAATGTCAAGTTAAGAAGGCACTCTGTGCTTTTCTTTAATTTTGAAACAGAAATCATAGCTTACTTTTGACTGAAAGAAAAAAAAACAAGAAAGCAACCTTTAATGTATATGATTTGTACCCTCTTTTTATTTTTGTTTGGCCATTTTGGGGTGGGTGTGTGTGTGTGTGTGTGTGTGTGTGTGTCTACATTATCTTTTGTTCAATTTTTTAATACCTTGTACACCACATCTGTCTTCTCTTCTATATGGGAATCAGAGGCTATGACATTAGGCATCATGTAAACCTTTAAGTTGGATGCAAGGCACTAATTTTCAAAGCTCCCCAAATATGCCAAGAACAGGCAAGTATTTCAAAATCACATAATAGATGCAGGCAACTGGTATATTTAGTATCGAAGGAACAGCTTTTCCTTTTTTTCCTGTTTTTTTTTTTTTTTTTTTTTTTTTTTTGCTTTTCCCTCAGTAGAAGCTAAAACTTTATTATAAAACCACAGATAAGTATATCAACTGCTAGGAGGCTGGCACACCAGAATACAAGGAAATAAAAGATAAGGGATTTTGGTCAAATACAAAAAGTACTGTGGAATTTAAAGCAAATGACAGCAGATAAGGCTTTTTCTGAGTTTCTATTAAAAATGTAATAAATAAGCAATCCAGAACAATTTTTTCCAGGCCTAGCACTTTTGTTTCTACATTGCTTGTCATAAATGTATGGTATCATCATCAATGCAGGGATAATATTCATAGTTGCAAAAATACACTTTGCTGAAGTCATGTTAAAAATGTGACAGCTTCAGATGGATGCCCTGTGAGTCTTTCAGTAAAGTTCATCATTTGAATAAATAGACTTTATTTACACACTTAAGGATAATCCTCTAAGGATCCCAAGATACGGTGAGTAATGGATCTTACTGATATTTCATGTGCTGCTGTGGAATTTAAATTGATCTAAATCAGAAAAAGTAACTCCCCCCCACCCCCGGCAACACAATGAATTTGCATAGATTTATGTAGACCATCTCAGTGCCTTTAGCTCTTCTGACCCCGGGAAGGGACAGAGATTGAGATCTGGACAAAAAGGGACTCTAGTGGTTCCCTGGGATGACAGCACCTTTGGGACCTGCAACTTGAGTGTGATCTGTGGTCTCAGGTGAAGTGGACCATGGTGTCTGCTCCATCTCTAGAGGGCAATAGCCCTGAGTCATAAAACGTATCCCTGCATAGTATGGCACATCTGTCAGCCTCAGCATCCCTCAAGCTCAGTTTATATTTATCTTGGGATGGTTCACAGAAGGAAAAGATCACCCCAGTTGGATAGCAGGTTTTCAAGCCATTTTATTTTACTCTATCTTTTGTTCTTATGTGGTATGTGTATGTATACCTTTCATCTAGTTGAATTTATGTTTTAAGGCATTTATTTATAGATAATTTCAGAGCATCATATTATGTATTACAGTAGAAAAAAAGACAAACCAAGCCTTATATAATTCTCGATTCTAGGGTTGCTGCCAGTGTGGGGGATGGAGGTACAATATTATCGACTTTCAGGAATAATTTCCATGAATGTGGTAACAGATAGGCATGGTAAATTTTGTGCCATAAATAGTCAACTAATAGCTCTGGGTATCAAGTCATGAGTGAGTATAGCTATCATTTAAGCAAATGCAGAGTCCTTCAGGAATAGGTTATGTAACTACTTATGACATATATAATGTCATAATTCAACAGCAATTTAAAAAATCAGTTCAAGTTTTGAATATTTTATATATTATGCCTTAGGTTTTCTGGGCCTAGGGAGATGTTGGTGTTCAAAAGATATTGAGGAATCCGGGCTTATGGGGAACAAAAAAGATGAAGATCAGATATTCCCAAATTAGCTATTAGGATGTTTAGAGAGTCCTTACAGCTAAAAAATCTAACTCTAATCACTTTTAAAAATTGGTCACCTTTTAAACTATCTAGTTCTTTTTTTGAAAACAGTTTAAGATTTGGTATAAACAGAACATTTCTACTCATTTATGACAGGGTTCTCATAAATCTTTATAGCTTCCGCGCTATGACCCAGAATAAGAAATGAATGTGAGGTTGGATAAAGGTTCTAGTGGTCTTTTCATATATATATATTCCTATGTATAAAATATACATATAAAGCATATATATGTATAAAATATACATATATATGTGAAACATATATATGCTTTATATGTATATTTTATACATAGGAATATATCATGTATTGATCCATTTAATCTTATTTTGTCATTATTTAAAGATCATTTTTAGAACTAGTTTTAGTTATGTTAGATAAAACAAAAAATAGCTTTTGTACTTCAAAATGGAAGTATTTTGTCAAATATTTTTGGGTTTTAGCATGCTGTTAACTAATTACTCAGGATATATAATAATATCTCTAAATATAATGGCATGATTATTAGTTTAATTAGATAAAAGTAGCATGAATGAAAATTGCCTGCTTTGATTTTCAGATTTATCTACAACAACATCATTACTAAAATAGTTCAAAATCTACCACGTACTAAAATAATAATTGGGGCATATATGGGTAGGAATGCAATTGATTTTAAGTCTAGTTAATTAGTAAACAAAAATAATTTCTTCTTCTCAATAGCAAGACCTTTGTTTTCATGTACAATTCATACCTATAGTATTGGTCATAATCTTATTTAGTATAACAGATGATTAATAGGTGATTTTTGGGCAATTGGCCATTTATAATGGCTTTAAAAAGTTAAATGGTTATATAAGACAAATCAGTTAAAAATTTTTTTTGTTTGCTTTATGTTATTCAATTATCTTAACGACATAGTGAAAGGATCATCACATATTAAGCACTTGATCTGTTATAAAACTGCTAAAAAAATACTTCACAGAATAGTTACATCTTGAATTAGTTAGACCTATTTCTCTTTTTTAAACTTAATAGTTTCCATATTTAAGTAATTCTGCATTTATTTAACAAGTGAATTCTGTGTTTTAATTATCAAGGAATGTAGGTCTATTATATTGTTTCATAGGAACTCTGTCTAGTAAAAACTTACAATAGGGTATCTCCACTGCTGCCATTTCAGCAGCACTAAAGGCACACACACACACACACACACACACACACACACACACACAAATGCTCAGTTCATCAGGCCTTTACACTGTCAGTGAACGTGTGTGTGTCTTTGTGTATGTCACACCCTCTAAATTCAGGTGGCTTCAAGCTGTGCCATATAATTCTAGCCTCAATTAAACTTTCCAAGGTCAGCAATACTGCACCAGGTCAGACATAAATAAGGCAGAGGATAGTCCTAGGGTACAGGAAGGCCATATTTATTCTTTATTCACAGTTCAAGGCTATCAAATGAAACCTAGCGGAGAGCAAAGACAGAGGAAGAAAGGAGGACTCTCAAAAGGTACTTTCCAGCTAAGTGCAACCTTTGTTAAAAAAATGAAATCCATATATGTATAATTCAAGACCCAGGGAATTAGTAGGGTATGTGTCTCTTTTTTTGTTCCCCTAAGAATGCAACTTTAACCACAGCTCAGTGGAGAACATGTTCGTATGATTCCAAACCACTATCATAGACATAGAGACCCAATTTCTAATTTTCTTTGTGTGGCTAACCAGCAGGCTAAACAGATACATATATCATCACTCTCAATCTCCTCTTCATAAAACTAGAAGTATGAAACGAATAAATCTATTGAGTTTTCAAGTTCTAAATTCTACTTGAGTCTGAATTTCACTTAAATAGTATTAGTAAAGTAAAAACAAATAAACTAAATTAAAGAAATACATGATAGCATATATCTAATCATATATAATGTACAAAGGTTAGTTTTTAGAATATATAGAGAACTCTTATAACAATAATAGACAAACATTAAAATCTGCAAATAAAATTAACAGATATTTACTGAGAAGGGAATCAGGTTAACTGATAAACACTTGAAAAAATGTTCAATCCATTTAATAATTTGGGAAATGCAAACTAAATCATGTTAGAACATTTTACACCTGCTAGTTTGGCAAAATTAATTAGTCTGACTATGTTGCAGAGTGAGAGTCCCAAACTGTGCACAAAGGTCTTCCAGAGCACTAGAGAACAATTACAAAGGCTCCAAAGAATTATTTTAAGTGAAAAAACCACAAGAGTTACCTATTGAACAGTGTGTGTGATCCACCAGCTGGAGGGAGCTCATAATTTTCGCTTTAGATTGTACGTTCTTCCTTTTGATGGTGTCAGATCTTCGCAAAGCTTTCAGAGCAGTAGCTGTAATAAAAAGAACTCTGTGACCAACACAGAATTATGGACATTGTTAGGAAGAAATCTAGTTTATTTTTCTCCACTAGTATCTAAGCACAGTACTCTCAGTTGGGTGAAGTAGAATTTGATTCTTAAGCATGTGGCAATGGAATCATTAGTAGCCTATGCTAGCATATGATGTCTGCTATTTCTTATAAGCTAAATAATAAATGCTAAATGAAGTAAATAAGTTAGAAAGAAAAGAGAGAAAGCAAAAATGTGGAAAATAGATTGAGAAAAAGTGATAGACTTTTGGGTAGGTGGCACAGATTTCCATTGGAAGTAAGAATGACAGATTTGAGAAAACAAAACAAAATAAAAACAGAAATAAGAGAACATACTTATTCTAAAAAAAGTCTCTGTCTGTCTGAATTTCAAATGTAACTAGGCATTGTTGATTTTATTTGGCAGCTCAACATAAAAACGATCAATAGGTTATACAGAATGCAGGCAATAGCACTTAAAG